CCAAAACAAAGCAAAAACAAGAGAATCCAAAACATGGAAATATCTAAAAACTACAAAAACTAACATGAGAAATGAAAAAAGTCAGTCAGCTCCAGTCTGTCTACCTGTCCAAAGGGAGTAACATGGTACAATAAAACACGCAGGAAAAGAATAATATACCCCAAACCACAATTACCATGTATGTTTAAAGTAGTATTAAACTCTCTACATTTTTTTCAAAAATGAATCCAGATTAAACAAACGTACATCGCCAGCAAGATATTCTTTTACATTTTTGCCCAAACACTTACAGGTTTTATGTTTTCAAATGGCTCTCTCTCAGCTCACCCTAAACTTCCGGTCCAGTACTTCAACTAACTTGGAGAAGGGGGAAGTGGAGAGGCTTGTCTTGCTGTGTTTTGTGTGTTTGTAGAGACACTCACAGCTTAGTAGCACACACAAGTGTGGCTCCATTGGAATGAATATTGCTTTGGATTGCTTTGCAGTTATGGTGACAAGGGCTTTTTGCCATTAGATGTTCAATTTTAGGGAGCATTAATTCCACCTGCATTGCACTAAACGGAGTGTGGAGAGCATGCCTCAGTTGAAGGTATTGAGAAAAAAAAAAGCATTAGTAAGATTATACTTCTGCTTCAGCCAGTCGAAAGAAACAAGAATATGATTCTCTACAGTATGTGCTAAGCATTTGATACCTCTGGAAGTCCAGATAACTGAGTTTGGAATATTTAAAAATTAAGGCAAGTTGGGATTCAGCTAACGTGGCACATGAGGGGAATACCTATGTGGTGGAATAGCTAGTTTCTTGTGCATCAAGTTCCAGGCCCTTTATAGTAGCCAGCATAGTCACAGTAAGGTTATATGGTGCAGACACACCCCTGTAGAGTAAGTCAGCCATAGCCTCATAGGACCCCACACATGCTGCTTCCATGATAACAGCTGCATTAAACTTGTCAGAGATCTAATAACTGTGAGCTTAAAAAAGTAATGCTGCACTAAAATACAGATGAAAATCAGGACACACCAAGCCCCCTTGCTGCCATGATCTTTGTAGAATAAAGAGATGAAATTAAAGTTAGCCATACACCTATAGAATTTCTGCAGATTTTCTATGATCAGATGGAAAATGTGCAACAGATTCCTCCATCTACGCTAAACTGAGTGGCTGTAGGAATCTCCGACTGGGCCAAGCTTCAGTATCTTGCTAATCAGCCCAGCTGGCTCTCAAAATACCTGAACAATGTCTGCATCAGATTGTTCATGTATTTTGAGAGCTAGCGGGGTCGGCTAAAAGGATACTGAAGCTTGGCCCAGTGGGAGATTCCTCCACCATCCACACAGTTTAGCGTAAATGGAGGAATGTGTTGAATTTTTTCCATCTGACCAGAAATACTAGAAAATCTAGGTTTATGGCCAGCTTTGGAGTGATGAGCACCCCAAAAAAGGATGTCAATTCAGTGTCTGTTTGAAATATTGTAGAGGAATCCAAGTTGGGCATATCGCAAGACATAAAGAACAGTGGGCTAAATTGTTCCTTCCCGCCAGTGACAGAGGAAGATTTTCCTATACCTTAAATATAATTCCAGCTACAAGAGAAGCCAAATTCAGTTTACAATAATCTGCAACCTTAGAGTTGCTACAGATCCCCAGATATGTAATTTCACTAGCCCACCTAAGGGGAAGATTTAGATCTGGACAAGCCCTTGCCCTTCATCTATAGAGAGGAACTATGATTTTTCCCAGTTCACCAGTAGTCACGAACTGCACATTGAATTTATAATGACAACGTTTTCCTTACCGTCAAGTAGTGTATAATCCGCTGTAGTTGCTCTGTAATAAAGGAACCACAGCCCTCCTGAAAATAACCAGGTTTTATGACCTAGGTTTTTTTTTTTTTTTTCTTTCCATTTTTTAAATTTGAATAATGTACAATTTCAATAATACTAATTGTGCACAGTGATGGATAGCCCTGTTCACCTGCATTAAATTATAACTAAACCACAGAAGGTGCTTGCTGGAAAATCTGCTCACATATTGAATAATAAGAACAGGTGGCTGGGGTGGAAGGTTCTGATAATTTTTATAATCGCCCAACATGAAGCCACTATATATAGATTACTCTACCTGGCTTTCTAAGGCCTTGCAGGTCCCTTCTTCTGAACGAGTATCAGTAGTCTTGCCATATCTTGTACAGGAACATCTGTGTGTAATTATCATGTTGGTCACAATGCACAGAGAATTCATGCTGCTTAGGGAACACTAAACATGCTAGATCTCTGTACAACCAGATGGTATTTAAGTGTATGCAAGAAATCTCTTGGCAAAAGTTCTGCATAGTGTCAAAACCAGGCTTGTTAACTCTAATCTTGGCAGTATGTGAAAGACTGCATGTCTACTGTGGTTGCGTGAGTTGACGTTCTTCCACAATGTAGTATACATTTTAGGGCTTGCAGGGCAGGCAAAACCTATTGTTTTAGGGTAGGTTTGTTAGAGGATTGCTACATTTGAATAAACATAAAATAGTTTGAAATCTTTATTAAAACAGGAAATGTAGTTTCATTGCTATCTAATTTAAAAGCAGGTATCAAATCATTTTGGCGGCCAAAAATATTCATATTGATCTTACACTTTCCAAGATGGTCAAAGCAAAACCCAGTGTGACAACCGAGGTAAATGAAAGAAAAAGATAAACCTTCCTTACCTAATCATAGCTCAATGGTAGTTAATTCCTTTAGCAAGACATCCCACTAAGGAATAATGCTAAGTCCATTGAAGAAAATAGCCAGCCAGTCTTTAAATTGGAAGTTTCAGTAACTTTACAAGTCTACATGATTAAATTTACATGTCAGAATCCACTGCAACAGTTTTTAATTTTGTAGAAATGCTCTACCTTTTATAATTTTGTAAGCCATCCTTAGGCTGTAGGCCACTGACTTTGCTAAGGCTTGCATTATGCGGTCAGTCTTCTGCAGACAGGGGGAAGCATTTTCTCAGTCTACTCTCCCCAATTAATAAGACTGCAACAGAGTAAGTTTGTATGGCAGAGGGGTTATGTCTGATATTACAGGCACTAGAATTTAGCACTTAAAAATGTGAGCAGCAATTTGTAATTTTTTCTTTAAGTTATGCTATGTGTTATTCCAATTTGGCTGCAATGGCGTAAATACACATTAAATAAAGAAATATATATATATATATACGCAGACCTAGACTTTTCTGGTAGCCGATCTTGGCCCCACTACTTCCCACTCCCTGCACCTTTCTGTTGATGCTTTACGGAAGAACGTCTTCCTTTATCCTATAAATTGCAACAAAGGCACCTTTTTAGAAATGTTCAATAATGACAATCTACAATGGATGCTTTTAGACTTTTTGTTCTTCGCATACCTTATTTCTTTTTTCCTTCCTATGCTTCTCACAGTGGCCATTTTCACTAAGGGCAGATTAATCTATCTCCTTTTACTTCCTGGAACTGTGGACCTGCCTCTTGAAACATGTAACAGTACACTTCATCTCAGAGGAACAAAAATGCCTTTCCCCTGAGATCTCGTGATATTTATCAGTTTACAGATGACATTTCCCAGGAAGGCACTGGTAATGTAGCCTTCCGAGGATTCATCTGTGAGGACATCAATAGTGCCTCACTCAACCAGGACGTTGAAAATACAGTAATTGTAAGTAAAAGCTAAAATGTTTAACTAATGTAAAATGTTTTCTTAGCATGCAGAGCTGCATGCTGATGTGGTTTTTAGTGAAAAGGGGTAAAGGTCAGCTTAATGCAGGACCCTTCTGACCAATAAGAAGACTGAAGAGGAAAGCTTGAATTTTATAGGAAAGTGTGATTTTGTATTTTTTTGGTATCGTTTTAGCTGCCTGTATTTAGAATACAATTGTTTTGACTTGCAGTTTTCACATTTAAACTAAGGCCAACTTCACATGGGTTGATGAGGAGGGGATCCGTCAATAGAGCCTCTCCTGATCACAGCAGTACGTACCGGATTACCTTCATCTTGTGATAGAGTAATAAACTGAAACTGACAGACCCCCATGTGTGTCTGTGGGGAATCAGTTGAAACGGATCTCTGATTCCAGACTAACCGGGTGTAAATGGACCGAAAAACTGACAGGCGGACCCGATCGGACCGCTTATGTTAAAGGGGCCTTACACATTGTTTGATCACATACCCAGTTTAAATTGCCTAGGTTCGGGACAGTTTGTGTAAAGGTGCCCACACACCTTACGATAATTGCGGGAAATCTCTAAGGTGTGTGGGAGCTGTGCAAACTCTGCTTCTGTAAGGTTGCACGACTTTTACCTTTTAGGAACATGTACGATGTTCGGCTGGTTTGTGGCATGTTCGCAAGATAAAAGATGCACGGGCCGGTGTGCGCAAGCGCACACTGCCCCTTCAGCATTGCAGTCATTGGAAGCCCGCCCCTCAGCTGGATGGGCTTGCGATCATCGCAAGTACGATCTGCCTGTCCAAGATAGGCAGATTGTACGATTTTTTTAATTCCCTTACAACCATCGCAAGACAGAAGTCTTACCATGGTTACCATAGTTGTAAGGTGTGTGCCCAGCCTTAAGCATTATGTTACAGTAATATTCAACATTCATCAAATAGAAACTACAGCTGTATTATGACAGCTGTAATAATGGTATGTCTTTTTAACTGTTTAATCCTGCCTCATTGATCATCAGTCAACAGTATAGAAATGTATTTTTTGTTTTTAATTTATTTACTTGCATGTTATTGTTTTTCCATTTTTCAATTTAAAAATGTTATTGCCAGTTTAAGTACTGTCTTTTATGCTGTTTTAATTATTCAAATGAAAGAAAAGTAATATCAAAGGAATATGTACTTAGGTATGGTAAGTTTCCTCAAGAGACTTTAAGGTATAATAATTTTGGACTTGATAAGCAGTTATTCAATAACATTACATTCCTGTAAAGCAGTATATGCTGTCAATTCTCTTAAACTATTCTTTAATGATTGATGTCGTTTTTCAGGAGGTTGGCTACTGTCAGGGGATGAGCCAGATAACCGCTTTGCTCCTTATGTATATGAATGAAGAAGATGCATTTTGGGCTCTTGTGAGGCTGTTCTCTGACTCTAGACATGCAATGCATGGTAAGTGAACTTTTATTCCTTGTGTGAGTGACACCACTTGCAAACAAATCCGTTTTAATGGTAACTGTTTTCCATTTATAATGTTACAGCTAGCTGTGTGTAGGTAGATCTTTTCATGGATTGCAATGACAGATCAGAAAACTGTCAATTCTCCTTATGCTCATTTAGTACCCTCATTTGAAATATCAGGTTTAGGTTTATCTGAGGCATTGAAGTGTAAAAGGCAAGATACTGTACATTGTGAAAGGTCCTTTTTTTTTTTTTGCTAAATGAAGAGGTGTTCTACTGTGTTATCAACATGCTGTACCTTTGTTATTGTATCACTTCTACTGAACAAATAGCCAAATTATAATATAGCCGTAGTATCATCTTTGATATACTATTATATTTTGGAAGAGTAGTTTGCTTTCTTATGCTGTCTCATGTCCTCTGTTCAAGAATAGGAAGAAATGTGAGTCTTGCTCATGGCGACGTCTCCTCATCATAACTTTGGTAGTGTAACTGTGGATCAGATGAAGGTTCAGTGTACGGTTGTGATGTTATAAAGGGGACGAGCAAAGGGAACCTATGAGAACAGAAATAAGAGGGCTACCATTCCTTACTTGTTTTAAAGATACATCTGGAATGTCAACCTGAGTCTGGCTTCACTACCTAGTGGACTAGGTCTAATCTAGAACAAGAAACATGCCACCAGAATTGTAAATTTTATTCTGCATACTTCTGGGTCATTGACTGGCCAGATGGTGAAGCTGTAATCGGGATAACAGCCCTAGAGTCTTTAAGGATATGAGGTGCTGGCCAGCATATTTCTTAAAAGCATAGTTCTGTACAGCGCCACCCTGTACCGTTCTCGGTCTTAGCACCTTCTAAGGAAGTCCCAAAAATGACAGATGCTGGCTTTGCAGTTTTATAGATGGATTTGCTTTCTATCTTGTGTCTGTGGTGAGCCAGCTGCTGTTGGTGGAACTATCAGTCAGGCATGCTAGAAAGCCTATTTTAATTGCTAGTGGTAGGGGTTTTAGTTCTTTTAACAGTTAACCTTTAATGAATACCATTTAATCCTTCTTTTTTTTTTTTATTTGTTCAGGTTTTTTTGTCCCTGGCTTTCCGAAGCTTCTAAGATTCCAGGAACATCATGACAAAATCATGAAGAAATGTTTGCCAAAACTTAAACAGCACTTTGTAAGTAAATACTTTGCTTTCAGAATGAAACAGAAATGCAAGAAATAGGTAGGCAAATATTGCATACCATTAGAGGAAAAAAAAATGCTGAAAATCATCTAGGCACAGCCTGTCATCTGTTGTGTTGACAAATTTAGACTCCTCCCCTAAGATTTCGGAATGTTTTAAAGAGAATAAATTGTCTTTATAAGTTAAATTAGTGAATGTGATACAGATATGAATATTTTTATTAATGTCACTTTTTAATTGTGTTTAACGTTCAGGAAACTCAGGAACTGTACACAAGTCTGTATACTATGAAATGGTTTTTCCAGTGCTTCCTGGACCGGGTAAGAATATACCAATATTAAAAACGGCTATGTTTTGCTTATGTATGTTGTAATTTATCTATTATCTACTTTTCTTTGGGCAAACACTCTTAAGAGTGAGCTATATATATATCTATAGAGGTGTGTGTGTATACAGGTGAAACTCGAATAATTAGAATATCGTGCAAAAGTTCATTTATTTCACTAATGCAACTTAAAAGGTGAAACTAATATATGAGATACAGGGGTGTGGAATTCCTATCACCCGACGCCCGGGACATGCAGTTTCGGGCGCCGGGCGAGTAGTTTTTAAGTACATTCAGCCCGGCTCCGGACAAGCAGAGCTGAATGTACATTGTGGAGCCGCCGACGCTCGTTTAATACAAGTGGTCTGATCAGACCACTTGTATTAATTTGAGCAGCGGCAATCGTTTCTGCCCGCACCCCCGCCGTAGTTTTCGGGGTCGCCCGCTCTCCCGGGGGACCCTGAAAACTAAGGCACAACGGCTCAGCCATAGAGCCCATAGAGCAGACGAAAAACGTCTGCTCTACGGGCTCTCTGTGTGTTCTCTGAGACCGTGGCGCTGTAATCACAGCGCCACCTGTCTCGGCTGTCAGGAACTACACAGAACAGCTGTTCTGTGTGGAAGGGCAGGTTCCATAAAAGAAAACCTGTCACCTCCAAACTATCACATAAGGGATTTTAATCTCCTATGTAATAGGAAGAAGTAAATAAATAAAAAGTTAAAGAAAATTTAAAGTTAAAAAAATAAAATATATAAAGATTTAAAAAATGAAAAAGTAAAAAATAAAAATGAAAAAGTAAAAAATAAATAAAAGTCAGATGACCGCGCTGACCAGTGAGAAGCGCTATTTAGCACAGTAAAATATGTTTTGATTAGGGGTGCACCGATACTAGTATCAGTGCCGATACCGAGTATTTGGGAACTTACGGCCAGATGAAAATTTCCTCTGACTGGCAGTGCCGTAGGGGTACATGGAGCCAGCTTCCCGTGCAATCAGGAAGCCGTGCGGCAAGTAATGACCCGCCTCCTGGTTTTCCGATTGGCCCTGGCCAATCAGCATCGAGCCGGTTTCCCGGTCAAACAGGTCATTCCTCGCCACCCGGCTTCCTGATTGACCGGGAAGCAGGTTTCCCGGCCAATCGCAATCAAGCAGGCCAAACAATATGGAGCCGGCTTCTGTGGCAATCAGGAACCTGGGCGGGATGTCATTACCTGCTGCCCGGTTTCCGCTGACATGATTACCATGTCATGTCAGCGGAAGCACCGGTATTCAGTGTCGGCGAGATCCGAAAGCAAAAAATTGGTACTCGTACTCCATACCGAAAAACCGGTATTGGTGCATCCTTAGTTTTGATTAAAACTATTTTTTGTATTGAGACAAGTAGATTGTCGTGAAGGACAAGTAGATTTGGCCCCCGCTTTAGCCCTTGGACAAGTAGTTTTTTTTAACATTTCCACACTCCTGGAGATAGACTCATTAAATGCAAAGCAAGATTATTCAAGCCGTGATTTGTCGTCATTGTGATGATTATGGCTTACAGCTCATGAAAACCCCAAATCCACAATCTCAGAAAATTAGAATATTGTGAAAAGGTGCAATATTCTAGGCTCAAAGTGTCCCACTCTAATCAGCTAATTAAGCCATAACACCTGCAAAGGGTTCCTGAGCCTTTAAATAGCCTCTCAAAGACCGAGGGGTATCCGTCCTCCTCTCACCTCAGAGCCCCCAGCGTGCTGTATGGCTGCCCCAGGCTGCACACTAACACTGGAGGCTCACGTAGGCGCTATAACGGCATCAACCGCGATGACGTCATCACATGACCGAGATGGAACCGCCCCCCACTAAGCAGCACAAGGACAGTACTACCCGGGCTAGGAGCTACCCCCACACAGGTCACAACAGGTCCTATCAATCACTTCTGCAGAGCTGTCGGTCATGTCTAGCAGACGAAGGGAAACAAAAGAGGGGCAGATAACCCAGGGACATACAGAGATGGAAAAGCTAGCAGTGGTTGAATGGTGGTTTCGGATAGATCGGATATTCACAAACCGTACATCATATTCTCATACAGTGTGTCATTGGAAGTGTTTAGATACAGATACAGACAATAAATAATGGATAGCAGTATATGAGACAAAATACATTATCTACAAAAGTGTCCAGGTAAATAACAAGAATTATATTCGATTCTATCAGTAGTACCTAGCAAAACAGATGTAGAGAATGTTAGAGGAAGAAGGACCAAGAGAAAACATTTCCCGCACCTGTGTATAACATTGTTGATGATCCATGTGGAGTTTTAGAGGAATTTCTATAAATTTTATAGATAAATAGCGGTCGATGGGTTGATAACCATTGAATGTTCAGAGTGCATAACACAGTAAATTATATAAATATATTGTCTAAATACAGGAACAGATGGAAACCTGTACATTGTTTTAAAAAATATATTTAAAAAATAATGAGAAACGTCAGAGTCCACAGGGCGCCTAACCTTTCCCACACTTCTATTGGCCCTATAGATTGTTTAAACAATGTATAATTGAACCAAGACTAGATATTATCCCCTGGAGCCAAGGCTGGATGTTATATGTTCATGGGGAAATGTCATGTTGGAGGGAAACACCATGCAGGATGCAGATACGTTAAATTAAAGGGATGAACTTAGTCAATATTGCTGTTACTAATAGGTAGCCAAACCTTTCCCACACTTCTAAAACCCCCATAACTTAAGAAGTGTATAATCAGACCAAATCTGGATGTTATTTGTTTCTCAGAACATGTCATGTTGCAGGGACACACCTTGCAGGATGCAAATGCGTCATATTGGAGAGATACACCATGCAAGAAGCACCAACTCCTTATATAATAACCTACTTAATCGGTATAATAGAATGATAGTGTGATTCATATTTGTTTACAACCCTAGTTCAGAGTTGCCCCAACACTCACTATCCGCAAGGCTGCTGTGGCTACATGTTCATATCAGACCTGGGGGTGGGGGGGGGAGAGGAGTGTCTAACAGGTACATGAATTTGTCGCGAACACAGACCATTGTCATGCGAGGCAAGACAGAATTGCAAAGAGTGTCTACAACACTCTTAATGAATTCCTGGTTATATCTTTTGTTTTACTAGCTCAGTTCTTTCTGCTTGTCCCTCCGAGCTTTAATTTGGCAACGTGCCAGCCTTCTAATCTTTAATGTAACACGGTGCAAATGCAGAGGAAGTGGGGGGAGACAAAGTGCTGAGATCCCAAATTGGCATCCTTACTACATCTCTTGTGAACTTTGCTGATGAACTGCTCCTCAGTAACTTCAATCACAGAATGGACTTGTTTAAAGCCTAACCACAACTTGAGAACATAATGAAAAAAATGCCTTCCTAGAATCATGCTGAAATAAAAAGTGGGCCCTGGCTGCTGTACTCAACAGATCTCCAGCTTAGTCCCCCACAACTTAATGTAATTGCTGCTTAGTCGAGAGCATGTTGCCAGTCTTTAGGCACCAGAGAAAAATCGAAGGTACCTTTTGCTGCAGGAAAATTGTTAGTGTTTTTTGTTTGTTTTTAATTCCGGTAATACATATAAGAGAACATGGTATCCAGGATGAATGGGGCGTTATTTCAGTACAGGTCTGCTTTAATTCCACCCTCATATGTAAATAATCCTTCCTAGAATCTGCAGAAATGCTATATTTACTGTTGGGATCATTCTTTCCTCCATAGAGGTCTGTTAAGACTTTCAGATTTTCTGACTTTGCTCTGTTTTCTCTTTCTGCATGTTTTCTTCTGGTTAATGACTGGACATACTAAATGTTCAAAGCAGATATATTTATTCAGGGGAATTAAAGCTGTAACATTGAGTTCCTTAAGCTAATGGTCTTTTATTTCTTCCACAGGCACCTTTCACATTAAATCTAAGAATATGGGATATATACATACTTGAAGGCGACAGAATTCTCACTGCAATGTCTTACACGATTTTGAAACTTCATAAAAGTAAGCTTTTTATGTAGTTGTTCAGATAACATCATCTAATTTCTTATTTATTCATGAGATTAGGACATTTGAGACCTTTTATGTTATACTGCATCTTACTGGAGAATTTGGACACTGGCAAACAGAAAACGGTGAGGAGCTTGGTAGGACCCCTTCATCTCAGCATACCTTCATTTTTTGCTAGTGTCCTAGGGAATGGATGTCATTTCACTTTTTTAACCATTTTTATTAGCCATTGTTTTTTCTTTTCCACAAGCTGCTTGAATCTTGCAGGTATCTGGATCACCGTATCCTTAGTAATAGCTTTGGAAGCTGTACTCCGACTCGTACCCCGCTGGACTGGCTGATTGTGACGCCTGTCTGGAATGTGACCTTCTGGCACTGAGCTCTGCTTATGGCACTTTCCAGACTTTTTTTTAAACGGCAGTTTGTTTATAGTTGGGCTTATTAGTGTGTTGTTTGTTGCACTGTAGAACAGTAGAAAGGCATCATGGCACACTCACAAACCAGCATGTAAAACAACATGTCTCACCACTAAGGACAGAGGTTTGGATACACGTCTTCTGCAAAGGATGTGTAAGCCGCACTGCCGCGCCAAGGCACCTCTTATAGTGCGGTCCTAACTCTAAACTATGAGAGTCTCCATCTTGGAGCACATGGGGGCAGAAGATATCAAATTGGGTGCAGGCCTGTCAGGAGGACGCCCCACCTCCTTAAAGGTACAGAAACACACAAGGGATCCCGCACATCCCATTGGCAGCTGAGAAACCCCACGCGTCGCTGCACCAAATCGGTAAAGCAAAACAAACGACAAACGCACTCAATAATTTGTTACCAGTTATACAGTAAGGTGCACACGAAATGGGCTTTGAACAGTAGAACAGTAGAAAGGCATCATGGCACACTCACAAACAGTGTTTGTTGCACTGTCTACCCCATTTGGACTGCTTTGCATGTCCTAAATCCTGTGGTACTTTATTGAATTAAGAAGAAAACAGAATTTTTGTACTCGCTGTAGAATCCTTTTCTTTGCATTCATTCATTGCATTCATTGAGGGACACGGGTCCCACCCCTGTGTTCATGGTCTTGCTCTCTGCACTGCTTTGCTGCAAAAATAAAAGTATGCAGGTAGTTGGAGGGGCTATTCAAGACTGGTCACTGTTTTTTTTTTTTGGGGGGGGTTGCCAGTGTCCAAATCCTCCTGTAAGCGGCAGTATAAACCAAATGTCTCTGGCCCCCAATGAACAATTAAAATTTTTATTATGATCCCTTACAGTGGGGCTAATTGCTTGTTTTTGTCTAAGTGCTAAAATAACATTATACTCACCTGAGTCACAGCACTCCCTCCAGTCTGTCTCCCACTCCCTGCAGCATTGGAATACTCTTCAGTGTAGTCACTTCTATACGTTGTGTATAGATGTGATGTGTTACGGGACATTAGACCGCTGCAGAAGAGGGGGAGAGACGTTGAAAGGACCGGTCTAAGAAGAAGCTGGCTAGGAGCCTCTGGCGAGTTGCACTTTTTAATTTTTTTTTTTAACCGACACCCAAATGAGCATTTAACCCTTGCAGTGCAGGGGTAGCCATCTGCAAGGGTTAATAAAATAAATTCCTGGAGTTCTCTTTAAAGTTGGTACAAAAATCCTGTTATCCTAGAGAAAATGCAGTAAAGAAAATGTAACCTCAATATATAATATGAATAATGTGGATATATTAGTAGTCTTAAAATAAGATGACACATACTTTTTTAAAATATTTTTTCTGCCTGGAAAAGTGTCTTAATGCAAAAGAACATTATACAGTCCATAGAACTTTCTGAAAACAGAAGGCAAAAATAGGGGTTTATACCTATTTTGTGAACAGAACATGCATATAGTTCGCTTGGGGCTAACTGTGAATCCTGAACCACTGGTTTTTAGTACTTTATGCAGTCTAATGTTATAGACATTTTAACTTCAAACTGCGGTTTCATGATAGCCGGCTATCATCAGGGCAGTTTATGAAATAACGGCTATGGAGTAAGGCTTATGGACTGAGAAAATTGTACCAACCTTGTGTCGTGTGGTGAAAGGAACCAGAACCCCCCACATATTGAATGAAAAGCCTACTTAAAACAGAAGGCATTTGCAGGTCGTGGGCAGAGCTGAGTAAATTTCTCCTGGGGGACTGAAGGAATCTTTTTTCTTTTTTTTCTTCATTGGGTGTAGAAAAACGTGTGTCTTAGGGGACACTTCATCAACCTTTTAGAAAACAGATGACAGAATGATGGAGACGGAATATCAACCAAAAATCCAGAAAAAACACCTGATACAAATGTTGTAAATTGAGTCGCAGTTTAGTGAGTAAAATAAGTATTTGATCCCCTACCAACCAACAATAATTTTGGCTCCCACAGACTGTGTGGTACATAGATTAGTCCTGTCAATTTAAGAAGGTGCTCTTAACGACAACTCGTTATGTATAAAAAAGACACCTGTCCACAGAATCTTTCTTCCATTCAAACCTCACCACCATGGGCAAGACCAAAGAGCCATCAAAGGATGTTAGGGACAAGAGTGTAGACCTGCGCAAGGCTGGAATGGGCAACAAGACTATCGGCAAGAAGCTCAGTGAGAAGGAAACAACTGTTGGAAAGATTATTTGCCAATGGAAGGAATACAAAATAACCATCAATCGCCCTCGGTCTGGGGCTCCATGCAAGATTTGGCCTCATGGGGTAAGGATGGTGATAAGGAAAGTGAGAGATCAGCCCAGAACCACACGGGAGGAGCTTGTGAATGATCTCAAGGCAGTTGGGACCACAGTCACCAAACAAAACATTGGTGACACAATACACCGCCATGAATTGAGATCCTTCAGCGCCCACAAGGTCCCCCTCAAGAAGGCACATGTACAGACCCGTCTGAAGTTTGCCAATGAACATCTAAATGATTCAGATAAGGATTGGGTGAAAGTGCTGCAGTCAGATGACACCAAAATTGAGCTCTTTGGCATTAACTTGACTCGCCATGTTTGGAGGAAGAAAAATGCTATGGCCCTAAGAACACCATCCCTACACTCAAGCATGGAGGTGGAAACATTATGCTTTGGGGCTGTTTCTCTGCTAAAGGTACAGGCCGACTTTGCCGCATTGAGGGGCCAATGGACGGGGGCCATGTATTGTAAAATCTTGCATGAGAACTTTCTTCCCTCAGCCAAAACACTGAAGATGGGTCATGGATGGGTCTTTCAGCATGACAATGACCCAAAACATACCGCTAAGGCAACAAAGCAGTAGCTCAAGAAGAAGCACATTAAGCTCATGGAGTGGCCTAGCTAGTCACCAGACCTTAATCTTATAGAAAATTTATGGAGGGAGCTGAAACTTCGAGTTGCCAAGTGACAGCCAATAAACCTTAAGGATTTGGAGAAGATCTGTAAAGAAGAGTGGACCAAAACCCCTCCTGAGATGTGTGCAAACCTGGTAACCAACTACAAGAAAATTCGTACCTCTGTGCTTGCCAACAAGGGTTTCTCCACCAAGTACCACGTCATGTTTTGCTTGTCGATTAAATACTTATTTTACTCACTGAACTGCAGCTCAATTCATCACAATTATATCATGTGTTTTTTCTGGATTTTTGGTTGATATTCTTCTGTCTCTATCATTTAAAATGCACCTATGATAAAAATGATAGAGCTTTAATTTCTTTGTAAGAGGGCAAACTTTTTGTGTGATAGATATATATACAGGGCTTGAAAAATTTGATAGTGTCTCACCAGTCAGTCAAAAATTTCACCAGTCAGCATGACCGGACTATAGCCTTGCAATTTATGGTAAAAAAGTTTGGGGACAGATAGAGCTTTCTTTTGGAGGTATATAATCACCACGGGGGTATTTTTTTTACTATATAATTAAAAAAGTACCATAAATGTAAAAAAAAAACAAAGTTTCCCTACGTTATGTTATAAAACATTTATTCTTACCCATATTTTCAGTAAAACATAAAAGTCGGTCACGTCGGGTAAATAGGCACCAAACATGTCAAGCCTTAAAATTGCGTGCGCCCGCAAAAATCGCAAAAAACGCCCATAGGTGACGATTAAAACGTTTTTTTCTGTTCATCAGTTTAGTGTTATCAGTGATTAAAGGAGAACTATGGGGTTAGGGCTTTTCCCCATAGTTTTCCTTAGGTAACGGCAGGACACAAACTAGCGTCCTCCCGTCACCCTAATCTCAGTATACCGCGAGCTGCAGCTCGCGGTATACTGAGACGCCGCCGCTGAAGCGGATCCCGAGAATTATGTCTGGATCCGCCCAGCTGCGTGAGTGACAGCTGGCTCTGCCTATCCAGAGGCAGAGCCAGCTGTACCTGCCCCCTCCCCCATCCATTCCGCCAGTCAGCGCTGGAGG